CCTCTATTGGTCATTTAATGCTAAAATCTAAATATTTTGTACGTAATTTTATGCCTTCAACTACAAATATTTTGTACATAAGTTTATACTTTTAAAAGAAAGCTATGTTTGTGACTATATATTTTGTAGATCGTAAAATATATTGTTGGTTATTTTATAAAAATGTACTGTTCATTTTTTTTGTATTCACTATTTTCCCATAGTTTTTGACCTAAGTGTCCACTTAATATATATATATATATATATATATATATATATATATATATATATATATATATATATATATATATGATTGGTGTATACGGAATAAATTCCAATCACCGACAATTACTATTCTTAAAAGAGTGCTCAATACAGAGTCGAGCGTATATAATTAGTTATTTAAAAATGATAACATAAATATGTTATAAAATCACTACAAAAATAGCCATTTTGTTTCACCACCTTTGGTGTCTTATCAAGGGCTCTTGATAAGACACCAAAAATATTGTGTTTAAAAGTAAAATAGTTATTTTTGTAGTGTTTATTTATAATTTTAAATAAATAATTTTATATATATATATATATATATATATATATATATATATATTTTTAACACGGCAGCTGTTTTATAAGGTGTTGACATCTATCTTGAAAGACTTATGTTTGAGAAATTTTTTCTAAGGAGAACATGTCTGTAAAAATTATTTCACGAATATAACGTAAAGGCCTTTGTCATATAATTTTTAACTACCTAGTAATTTTAAGAATTTAGGAATATGTTCTAATTAAGCTTTATTGAATTTTAGGTACTTTGGCTTCAAATTTAATATAGTTTTCACTAATATTTTCTAATAGTCGTGATTAGACGTTAAAATGTCAACACATTTTTACATACTCAAAAATTTCAAAATTCTTTTTAAATATAAGGTGCATTTTGGCAGCAATAATTCTCTCAAATATGTTTGATTAAATAATATGGACAGGTTACTCGATTATCGCTAAATTTTCCAAAATTCATATTTATTTTTATTTTATATTATTTTGTTCCCGATTATTGGCAAATCTATTGATAACACACACACACACACACACACACATATATATATATATATATATATATATATATATATATATATATCACAAAATTTCAGAAGTGAATCAATACGCTGTCAGATCCTCATACGTCGAAACCGACGCGATAACAAATATGGCGCCAGTTTGTTTACATTGCGCAGATCAGTACGAAAATTTCACTGATTACGCAGATCCGTGTTGCCAACATTGTGTGAAAATTTTGTGTGAATTGATTGGACGGTTTTTGAAATATTCGAAAAAAGTTATCTCGATAATAATTTGGCACGCAGTGTATATTGGCAGAATATCTTTATTCAAATATGTTTCATTGAATAATTTAGACATATTATGTTTTTTTTTTATTTTTATACTGATCCGTTTCAGTTCTCTAATTAGTTTCTTGATGTTTATGTTTGTAATTTAGCCCTGACGATGATCTTCGAGGATATCGAAAGTACCTTGGTAAGAAAATAAAGGACGCCTTAATTGATGAATTTTATCTTAACATCAAGAAACTGATTAGATAACTTGCGTACTAGTGTCACTCACGCCTTACTTGGGGTGAACTGCTTAAAATAAATACCATAATATATATATATATATATATATATATATATATATATATATATATATATATATATATTAAGGTGTTGGGATTTGTGACAAACATTTGAATTTCAAAATATCCCCGGATGTTTTAGAAAATAAATCAGTATCAACTCAGAGAAAAAGAATTGTTTATTTCCCGAAACACTTCATTTTTTTTTATGAATCCACTCTTTGCACATTGGTAGATACAATCTTAACAAAATCAGATAGGCAGATGACGGAAACAGAAAGAAAATTGTAGATTGTAAAAGAAAACCAGAAGGAATTGTAGATTGTAAAAGAAAACCAGAAGGATTTGCAGATTGTAAACAAAGCCAGAAACTGTTAACTATAATTATTTTGTTTCTATTTTCTCTAAAAGTTCGTTGTTGCTCAGATCTTTGCTCCATGGGATTCTCAGCATCCTTCTGTAGATCCATATTTTTATTGCTACAGGTCTCTTCTTCATCTTTGAGATTGTTCAGCATTCACTGCCATACAGGAGGACAGATATCACATAGCAGTTTGGTATTCTTTTCTTTGTTTCTAGCGAAGTTTTTTTTTTCTGTTTCTTAATATTCTGCTTAGCTTTTGTAAGGCATCTTTTGCTATCCCTATGCGCATACGTATTTTAGTGTCGCACTTTCGGTCCTCTGTTAAAACACTTCCCAGATATTTACATTTTTTTGTACTGGATTGATTTTGAAATCTTCGATTTTTAATTTGCATTTTGGGATCATCCTTTTGCTAACAATCATCCATTTTGTCTTCTTGCAGTTGATGTCTAATCTTTTCTTCTCGCTTTACTAGTCGACCTCTTTTGACGAAATGCGTCGTTGTTGTGGTTGTTATATTATTAACGTTACACATTTATTATATATATGATGTTGAAGCATCATCTTTAATAGTCAGGGCATGTAGCAACAATCGAAGAGTCATGATTTCTACGTCAAGTATTATTCAGTGAGCTCACTTTAGTGAAAAGACCACGGGTTTGCCATCTTCGAAGATACACAACACAGCACAAAACTACACTGAAAGCCACTGGACGAGTCTAAATCGTTTGAAACACATGCACAGAACCTTACCAATTGGCGATGTTCCATCATTATCGGAAGCAAAATCTTCAAAGGCAACAAAAGAGAAAAGAATAGGCTCGACAAAATCGAACACGCCCTCCGCCAACATTACTATGCAGTGAATACTATCGGCTCTTTCATGCAAGAATTGGTCTAATTAATCATCAACACCATCATAATAATGTATGAAACGATCAGCAAAGAAGAAATTAAATTCTTGGTTAGAAGATAAAGCCGACGACGATATAATGTTTATATTAATTTTATTTTGATTCCTACATTTGCGTGTACATCTTAGTTTAACTTAATTGATTTATTCATTTAAAGAGCAAAGAACTCTATACTCATCCTGTCGCTAATTGTCTTCCACGGTATCAAGGTGCGCAACGGTAACAGATAGAAGAAAGAAAAACACAGCGATACCGCTCCTTTTTCAGTATTAATTGTTACAAAAACAAACGAACATCTTCGAAAAAAGAAGAGGAAAAATTGATTTTATGAACTAAAGACTTATCCTGTGTCTGTCTGTCTCTAAGTGAATCACAAGGAACAGACTGTGAATGCACGTGCCTGTATAGGCGCATGCGTGGATAGGTGGAAGGTCGTCGTATAATGAAATTAATGGAAGAAGTAGACGATGTCGCCTCAAAAGCATTGCATTTTATTCACATGTCCAAACAACTGAAAGCAAAAAGGGAGAAGTGACCTGTGCGCTCGGCATTGTTATCTTTCGATCGAAGGATCGAATTGGTAAATAGATTAACATTACGGATAAATTAGTGTTCAATCTAATTCAAGTCACGTTGTCTTCGTCTGCTCGAGATCATTTGTATTTTGCTTGTGATCGACTATCTGACGTTGTTTCGTTTCCATGAGAACTGTCGGAATGAGCTGTTTATTTGATATTTCCTATCGACTGAACACGATAACGACTTAGTTCTGATAATGATAAACAAACTCTTAATCTTGAGTCTATTGCTGTTAAGTCAGTCAGTTATATATATTTCAAAATGGCGCCAGTGGCTGGTGTTCATTTAAAAGTTCATTTAAACACCAAGTTTTAAAATACCTATTCTGCGGTTATATGGTGTGGATGCCAAAAACAAACACCAGTTCCCGTAGGATCACCGAAGTTAAGCAACGTCGAGCCTGGTCAGTACCTAGATAGGTGACCGCTTAGGAATACCAGATTCTGTAAGCTTGGATGTGCGGGTGGTGTAACGGGTGATGGCTCGCAATTGTTAATCGGAGAGCCGAGTTGCTGTTCCAGTTCCAGTTGGGTTTCTTATATTCACTTATGCCCAAATACACTTGGGAGATGTATGAATACACCTCATCTATGGGTTACTTAGTAAAATCTTGTATCAATAAAACCATTATTATCTTCAAAAAGTAAAGTAAAATAAAATTACGTACAAAATATTTAAATTCTGGCTTTAAATAACCCATAGAGATGCTGATATGCCGTTAAACAAAATCAACCAAGCAAAACATCTATCCGCATTATGGTATTTTGGCAACGGATATTTGGTCCAAGATTGTGGTAACAAACAGAGCAGAATATTTTAGAGAATTAAAAAAAGCAAACTCAAGATAGGTATAAGCCCTAAGAGCCACTCGAGATAGAGGGTTACAGGGTAAGAGGCATAGTTTAAGCTGATATGTGGGGAAGATAACGGTTAAGCCTATATTTGAACAGGTTAAGATTGTAGTTATCGAGGAAACATCAACCGTGGAGTCGGTTCCACAAAGCAGAGGTTTATTGGAAGAAGCTACTCGAGTGGAACTTTCATCTCACCTATAGAATACGAAGGGAATGAGGGTGGTCCGCTACAATGTGCATTTTCCCGCGTGTACAAACGCATTTGCGAATAAATGTACCGAGAATATTTAAACATTTCATACCACACCCCAAAAAATCAGCTAACAGCAGACCGCACACTGCTTTTCTCTCCCGAGGCTAGTTGGTTGTTTTGCTTGGTTGTTTTGCTTGGTTGTTTTTGTTTAGCGACATATCAACATCTCTATGGGTTATTTAATGCCGAAATCTAAATATTTTTTGTACACAATTTCATTTTATTTTTGGAGATAATAATGGTTATTTGTGATACGTTTCTTACTATTTAACCCATAGCTGGGGACAGAAGAGGTGGATTCATACTTTTTCCAAGGATATTTGCACGTAAGTGAATATAACGAACCCTACTGGAATTGGAACTCGGTTCTCCGGTTAACAATTCCAAGCCATTATCCATTACACCACTCGCTCATCCAAGCTCACAACACCTGGTATTCCCAAGCGGCCATCCATCTATATATTGATCAGGCTCGACGATGCTTAACTTCAGTGATCGTACGGGAACCGATGTTTCAACGTGATGTGGCCGTAAGTCTGAGATTAGTGTACAGATGGTAAGTGTGTTATGCTGTTATCCCTAGTTAGAAAACAGATTAATATAAACGTTTCCAAAACAGAAAATTATAATCTGGAATTTGAATAGGATTAGTGATGACCAGGGCCGGAATATTACCTTTCATTGCCCATAGGCTATTAAAGTTATGGGTCCCCGCTCAGATGGAGCCACTAACTCGGCCATACTCGTCTTCAATATTTTTTACTCGTGATATATATTAGCAACATTTAGATTGCTTGAAGTAAATTTATTACAAATTCTTTAAATAAACTAGAATATCTATCTTTTGTTTGTCAATAAGAAATACCACTTTTTCTATCTATTGCAAAAGAAATTAGCAAAATAGGCAGTAGCTGTTATCGTTTTATTTTATTTATTTATTTTAATCATTTCACTCTGAGTAAGGTGGGAATGCCATTAGTACGCAGTGGGTTAGAGAGGCTGGGTATAGGTGGGGATTTAGGAAAGGATAAAAGATGAACGGGATTCAAGACGGCAGAACATGGCGATTGGCGTATTGAAAGATTTGAAGATTGTAGTTATCAGGGAGACACGGAATTGGAAGATAGTTCCACGGGTGAGAATGCGAGAAAAGAAACTAGAGAGTGAAAGTAGCGATTTCATCTAGGTAGTTCAACAGTAAAAAGGTGAGACCTAATTGCCAATCTAGTAGGTCGCTTAAATTCATGTACTCGGGGCACAGGGTAAAAAAGCTCATCAGAGCATTTACCATGAAAATATTTGTAGAAAAGACAGAGGGAAGCCACGTCACGTCGGTGAGAAAGTGACTGAAGTCGAGATGTCTGGTCAGAATCAATAACATTACTGACCCTTCTTTGGATTTTGTCAAGAATCCCAAGATTTAAAAATATTGTGTAGTCAGATAGATTATATAGTTAGGAAGATTGTGTAGTATAATCATTATTAGTAAGTTATTAAGATCTGTCTGCCTTGAAAATCAGTATCTGAAATCTCGATTTGAACTTGGGATTTAAACGCCAAAGGTCAAGACCAGGACTAATTACTGGTGACTCCAGGATAAAATTGTAGATATGAATAAGACGGTCGCTACGGAATAGATACTTCAAATTTTATTATTAACAGATTACTGAAGCCAAGATCAGGACCAGTAATATTGCCGATTCTTCTTTGAAATTCATCGAGGATCTCTAGATATATAGCAGAAGCACCGTTCCATATGTGGTAGAAGGGGGTTGGGTACAAAGAGTGAAAGTGAGAGAAAAGTCTGGGTATAAGGGGATTGAGGATAGAACAAAAGATGAACGGGGTTCAAGAATATAGAAGCTGCTCGAGTGGAACTTTGATCTTACCAATGGAATACGAAGGGAATGAGGGTGGTCCGCTGCAATGTGCATTTTTCCGCGTGTACAAACGCATTTGCATTTAAAGTTTTGAAGATTGTAGTTTTCAGGGAAGTCAAGAAAACGGAAGGGAGTACCACAGGCAGTAAGTGCGAGAATAGAAACTATTGATGGGGGTTTCCCTCTTAACCATTTATTTGAAGTTGTGTGGAATATCAACATGTTGATTATGTCATTATTTTCTCCTCGAGTTACATGTACTATCCATTTTTGTTGTTGCTGTTGTTGGCAGTCCTCAAGTGATGTGGTGTCTGTTATTTGGTACAGTTCTTTGTGATTCTGTCGCTTTTGTTTGTTTGTTTAGCGGCATATCAACTTCTTATGGGCCATTTAAACTTAAACTTAATTATTCTTATTTTAAAAAAATTTATTGCTGCCAATTTTTTTTTTTTTTCATTTTTTTAAAAAAATGTATTGCTGCTAATTTTTTTAATACGAAAATATATTGCTGATATTTTTACTGTAAATTTTGTTATATTTTCATAATATTTTCATCAGAGTTTGGGGGATTCACTATTTGCCCATAGTTGGGACCCTAACAGGTGCCACCACCCCGGGTTAGCGTGAACCTGGGAACAACAGCGATTAATTCTCCAACTCAGAGGCCTTTCTGCCGGATGTAGTTTATCGTCATTTCCAGGACGGGATTCTGTAGCACCAGTCCACAATGTTCAAAGAAGGATGATCTTTGTCAAGACCCTCAGACTTTACTCACCCAAAGCCATTTTACACCACTGATCTTAGAATGCGATTGTATAAAGCTGACAGTTTAATTTATGTACCTCCAACAATTTTCTAAAAAAGAACATATCATGATGAAAAGGCCGCAAATTTGCCGTCAAAATATTTATCTTATTATTAAGAGGAACGACCAAAGTATATCTTGATTATTTGATTAAATTTGTTAATCCATTCTAGCATGTTTGAAATTTTGGTAAAATATCTTGTCTTGCGTCAGTTGGTGGGCCAAAGATTAGTATTGGAATTTTTTGCGGTAAAAAATACATTGTTTTGGAAATTCTTTTAAAAATTTTTAAAAAAATGTCGAATTATAATGAAATTTTCAGGACTTATTCAAAAATAAATTAAAATATGTTTTTTAATTTTTTTTTAAAAATCTTGGAAAAAAATTTTTTCACTTAATTTTATAAAATTACAAGAACATATTTATATTAGCTAAAAGCAGGACTCCTTGGAGAATTTAAATCAGTTTGTTTTTATCAAACAGAAACACAATTTACCAAAAATTTGCTCTGAATCGTAAAATAAAAAATGCAACAAAACTATGACATTATTTAACTAGAAAACTTTTAATAGCTTTTATAAATAAGATATATTAAGGACAATAATGTCATCAGGAAAAAAACATTTTTCGGTGAATAATGAATTTTTATAAAAATTGTTTTCATTTTTCTTAAATTTTAATTAGAAAAATTTATTAAGATTGAATTTTTTAAAATTCTGTATTAATTTCAGCAGTTTTAACGATATTATTAGTGAAAATTATATTTACTAATGATAAATGGAAAAGATTGATACAAATCATCAAACCCCAATATATTTTTTTTACTTTTTAACTTTTTTATTAGTGTATAAACGTGCCGTTTTCTTGTTAGTACGGGCGACCTTACACGACAATATCAGAAAATAAGAGCTATGTCTATAGTAAAATTAACACCAGCATTACAAAAATTCAATAAAACATTAGATTACGGAGAATATTTCCTGAAATTTTAAAGATTACTAAGTACTTAAAAATTAAATAAAAAAGACGCTAACGTGACTTTCTTCAATTATGTTTTAGAGATAAAGTCTCCATAGAACAGCATCTGTCATCACCTTGTAAAACATGTCAACACAGCTAAAATTTAATTTAAAATTATAGTAAATATCATTTGTTTCAAATCAGATTAATTATACTTTAAATCAGCTAATATTGCTCAAAAAAGTTTCAGAAAAGTATATTTTATTTTTAGAGGATTTTTTTAATAAAGAAAATTATACTGCAATGAAAGACGACTAAGAAAGGGAGATAATCAACTATTTTAGAGAAAAAAAAGAAATTTATTCCAGTCAATTTAAATTAGTTTTTGAAATACAGTAAAGTATTTTGCTTATTGAAGATATTAAATTTAAAATTTGAAATTAAAACTAAAAGAAAAGTTTCAATAAAGATTTTTCATTTTTTTAAATTCATTTTAAGCCTTAGTTATCGCGTTTATATATTTCTGAATTGAATTGGTGCCAGGGATGGCATCCATATGAAAATCTTGATCTGACAAGGCTATTTAAAAACATGACTGGCGTTTTCAGATTGTTTTCCTTTTTTAGCAATTTGCGGTATTCGGCAAAACTACCTCAGGCGCAGCCTATTCTATGCTTAATTTCCTTTTCTTCTATGCAAGACTAACGGCATGACTACAGTCAGCTTCTGTAATAGTCACACCAACGAAGCATATTTATTAGAAATATCTTAAGTAAAAAATACTGTAATCGAACACTGACAATGTGTATTAACCATAAAGAATTCTGGTGGATCCCATTCAATGTTGTAACTCTTTTCCATTGTAATTTACGTTTAACTGTCTGCTTGATAATTTTTTGTGTGTTACCTTAAAAGGTTTTCCGAATGTTTTAAGCGAGATTTAGAACATCCCAAACCTTCAGCTTAAAGAATGATTTGCGTCACCATAGTTCTCAATTTGCTTTTCTTATCGCAATTGTGATTGGTTTTTGTTTGGATGGATTTGATTGGTTGGCTTATTGTTTGCGTTTCTGAAATGAGTTCAGACGAAGATTATTGAGAATATAAGTTGAATGACCGACAGAGTAGACTGAGAGAAAGAAAAGCAAAAATGAAGCCAAATGGTTGTCTATAAAGAGAAAAGGTAGAAGAAACTTGAAGTTGTAATTGAGGGAAATAGTTGAGAAAGCATAGAAGAAAAGGGTGAAAAGAAAATTAGAAGAGGTAGAGAGAGAGAGAGATCAGAGGAGCATGACAGAAAAAAAAGGTGGTAAGATGATATAATATTCGTAAATGTGAAGGTGTGGCGTAGGTTTAAGAAAATGGTTAGAAAGAAAGAAAGAAAGAAAGAAAGAAAAGAAAGAAAGAAAGAAAGAAAGAAAGAAAGAAAAAGATAGGAAGTGAGAAGAGAGTATGAAAGAAAAGAAACATGCTTAAGAAACAAAATAAAACATAACTTACAAAAAGAAAGAAAGATAGAAAGAAAGGAAGAAAGAAAGGAAAACGACTAAGAATGAAAAAAGAAAGACAAAAATTAAGAAAAAAGAAAGTAAGAAAGAGAACTGAGAAAGAAAAAAAGATAGAAAGAAAAAACAAAACAGAAAACGAGACATGCTTAAGAAGAAATAAGACAAAGAAAGAAAAAGAAGGAAAATAAAGAATAAGAAAGAAAGAAAAAAGAAAGAATGAAGAAAGAAAGAAAGTGATTAAGTAAGAAAAACGTGACTAAGAAAGAAAGAAAAGAGAGGTGACTAAGAAAAACAGAAAGAAATAAAAGAAGAAACGGAAGAAAGAAAGAAGGAAAGAAAGAAAGTGAGAAAAAAGTCAAAGAAAAAAATCGAAACAAAAGAAAAAAATCTAAGAAAGAAGCGATTAAAAAAAAAAGAAAGAAACGAAAAAAGTGCTTATGGAAGAAAAAACGTCACTAGCAAAGGAAGAAAGAAAGAAAGAAAGAATGTAAGAGAACGTGACTAAGAAAAACAGAGAGGAAGTAGCAATTAAGGAAAGCGTAAGACAGAAAAAGCAAAGAAAGAATGAATGAAAGTCAGAAAAAGTGACTAAGACAAAAGCGAAAAAAAGTTGTGATTAAAAAAGAAAAATGAAAGAAAGGAAAAAGAAAAGTGTCAAAGAAAGAAACAAACAAACAAACAAACAAAGTCTCTAAGACGGAAAAATAAGAGACTAATTATTAATAAAAAAGGACTTGAAAAAAAGAAAAACAGTTCGTTCTCTTAACGTTCTGGCTGAAAACTTGACTGCAAATCTCCAAATTCTCTGAAGACCTAAGCGATCATAGCTCTCTCCGATTTCTTTTTATCTAATATCTATCAACTGATTGTTCTGTAGAAAGACAATGGAATGGAATTAAATTTGCCTTCTGACTGGTTCCGAACCAAGACCAAGTAACCTAACTTGATATTTTACACACACCTGTGCGATTACTTCAACCTCTCACAAGAACATTGAAAAGAATTTTTAGAAAACCAATATTTGAAATTATTAAAGTAGTTCAAACAATATATATTTGGCAGACTGTTTAGTCAATAACATTTGCGCATGCGCATCTGTATGTGAAACATTTGTGATCATAGATAAAATCTGAGAAAATTGGTTCCATTTGTCGTGTAAGACAATTTTTTCTCGACAGAATCTATTTTGCATATTTATAGGTGTACCATTCGTTCATACTTTGAATATTGCTGCCACGTATGGTTTGGTGTTGCTGCTATATATGTAGAGATTCTTGATAAAATCCAAAGAAGAACCTGCAATTTTATTGGTCCTGACCTGGCATCTAGCCTTCAGTCACTTTCCCACCGCAGTAACGTGGCTTCCCTGTGCCGTTTCTATACATATTTTCATTGTAATTGTTCTGATAAACTTTCCGCTATGGCATCTAGACTTTATGAATTTAAGTGCAGTACTAGATTGGCTGCAGCCACTCGTCCTTTTACAGTTGAAATGGTTAGATTTAACCGTAACAATGGTTTTTCCTTCTCGCTTGTGGATCTCTCTTCAGGTTTCTTGCTTCCCAGTCAACTTCGACCTTCAAAACTTTCAATGCAATGTTGACATTTATCTACTGTCTTCTTAATTCTTATTCTTTTATTCTCTTCTCTCTTTAATAGCGTTTTTTGCTCATATTCTCTAACACACCGCAACCATTTGCATCTTAGTGGTTTTATTGCCTTGCTTGGGGTGAAATTATTTTTTTAAAAATTGTAACGCGAAGTAAAATAGATTGTTAAGGCGAAATCTTTTCTTAATCTTATTTGTATATGTACACATGGATATGAAAAATTGCGTGGATGTGTGATGAGCTGCGCATGCGTGGGTATATAAAATGACAGAGTAAATATAATATTACATTAAACCAGAATGGTGTTAAAGAGGGAATTATGTAGTATATATCTAGATGCAATATATATATATATATATATATATATATATATATATATATATATGATAAAATAAATTTTGAAGATATGGTATATTTGGATTTAAAACTGTTCAATGGCAGGGGTAAAACGTATGTAATTATAAAAGTAAATACTGAGGTCAATATCGAGAAGGAACAGTCTGTTTCATGCCTGAGCTCAATCTTCATGGCATGAACATTGCGCTCAAGCCTGAAACAGAATGTCGACCCTTGATGTTGAGCTCTACCTGACCTATCTTCTTGAAATATATATATATATATATATATATATATATATATATAGATAGATAGATAGATAGATAGATAGATAAATAAATAGATAATGACCACTAATATATATATATATATATATATATATATATATATATATATATATATATATATATATATATTGATAAGTGACAGCCTGTTTCAAAATATATATACGTACGCACAGACACGCGCTCACAAACATACATATATATGTGTGTGTATGTGTTTTCCGTGTGTGTATGTGTTTGTGTGTGTGTGTGTTTAGACAACATATCAAATCAAATGAATTCTAACTATAAACAAAATGAAAAAGTCCTAAAAAACCTCATAAGTACTAATATTTTTACCAACATTATATATCGGTTTAACTGTCTTTTGTGTTATTTGGAACGCTGACGAAAAAGTAAGTACATATATTGGCTTGGTGACCACAACATTATCAAGACGTTTTACACTTCATTTGTCGCATACATGTTCTATTACAGAGCATCCAAATTTTGGAGGCCCTGTATATCAAAATCAACCAACCAACACTCAACAAAATTTATTACGAATATAGCAGCAAAACATATTAAAGTGCATATGACATTTATATTAATATCAATTTCCAGTTCATTCAGAATCATTGCATAAGCAGATATATCCTCTACCAATTCCATATAAATACCGTAATTCCCCATAAATAATACGCATTTTTTCCTAAAATGAAGTAAGCAAAATCTGGAGTACGTATTATCCAGAGGTACAATTTAAAAAAAAAATTGCCGTGAAATAAAATAAGAATTATCATAAAACTAAATTAGAATAATATTATTCTATGTTTAAAACCGTTCTTTAACTAAGAATAGAAAACGCTGGCCGTAATAAAATTGGACAGATATAATTTATAAGGGTGCGTGTTATGCATGAGTAGAAGCATTTTTTCACACTTTCAGCACAATTTTAGGTGTGCGTGTTATGGATGAAGGTGTATTATACATGGGGAATTACGGTAGCTCTCACATTAAAACAGGTAAAAATTAAAATGTACATTTATTCATTTCATTCCTATCTTCTATCTACAAATGTCCGGTGAAATCAATCCCAGAACGTATAAATCGTCTAACAAAATTAACTCTATATAATTATATTTCCTTCATAAGCTACAAGAGGAAAAGTCAAATTTAACAGTCTGTCTTTAACAAATATACATTTTGTTTCCTTCGGACAATAACCAAGACAACATCACTTGAGCAACAATACGAATTTTTTATTTATTAAGAATACATTTAAAGGCCAAAAAACACAGATAGCAGCTCTAATGAGGGCAAAGTTCGTGTGGCATGTTGCAGTGACCTGTTTTCAGACTCTTCCGGCAGCCACCCTCTTGATCCAAGGTAGCACTACCCCGTCAAGGCACTTGATGTTGGCCTGTGTTGAACCTGAGGCTCTGTGGGAAGATGAATGGAGGTAAAACGTCACCATCACTAGTGATCACTTCAAACACCTTCGTAAATAACCATTACACTGACACAACTTTTTCCAAATCCTCTGCAGTGTCCTCATATTGAGATCCAAGCACTCTGAAATGTTCGTATTGTAGCTTCCGGTGCGAATGCCAACCAGTACGTTTCTGGCAGTGTGAATTGCGCCCTGGTGCTCTTTTTTTCACAGACGGTGCTGCACCTACTATACTGTACATTCGACAAAATAAAAAAATGCGCATGCGCGAAATTAAAAAAATATAAAACTGCAACAATTTACCCATCGCACCCTATATATATATATATATATATATATATATATATATATATATATATATATATATATATATCAGTAAGTCCTTAACCTTAATGATGACTAAAATATTTGTTTTACTGAAGAATATTTAATTTTCAACATATTTCCTTGTCAATGAACTAAATTCAATTGTGTATATTGAAAAAAGTCAGCGGCTGATGAAATTGTAAAAGACGAAACTTGTCACATAAAAAGTTTTTTTTCATGTTGTCACTTTGATTTTCACAACTATATATATATATATATATATATATATATATAATTATTTATTTAAAAATTATAACATAAATATGTTATAAAATCACTACAAAAATAGCCATTTTGTTTCAACACCTCTGGTGTCTTATCAAGTGATGATGTTGAATGTATATATATATATATATATATATATATATATATATATATATATATATATATTCCAATTACGTAAATCAAATGTGGATTTTTGGACGACACAAGCAAATTTCGGAAACTAGCTGACATTACTTGTGACGTCACCTTGAAGACGAAATTAGACTACAGAAGAGATTATTAGAATTTTCTAAGAAAATTTTCCTGCTCAAAATGGTATATGATAAAATTCGTCCTTTTGGTTCCCAACGTCCAAGGATATATGGGTTATCAAAAAATTCTCAAAGTGGACATTCCACTAAGTCCTATTTTGTCTATGATTGGTTCTGTCTAGGATAGATTGGCTGTGGCGTATTTAGGTTCCGGTTTTAAGATTTCTATTCGGGGTACTGTGTACCACATCTGTTCCAATTTTCGTTTTTATGTGCAAATTGCAGCCTACTATTAATACTGAGTATTTTGTGTCTTTTGATATATCCAGTTTGTTTAGAAATGTCCCGCTTGATGAAACCATTGATTTTTTTCAATACTTAAATAATTTCAACCTGTCTTTGAAATTTACTGGACGTGAAAGGGAACAATAATTTATCTTTCTTGGATGTGCTGGTTGAGAGAACTCCATCATGTTTTCTCACTAGTGTTTATAGCAAACCCACCTTTTCGGGGTATACCTGAGTTGGGATTCTTTCGCTCCCAAAACCAGGAAAATTAATCTCGTTGTGATAAAGTAATCGGGAGTAATCTCTCTGGTTTTATAATTATCCCCCTTGGAGAACTCTTTTGTTTGTAGAGGACTATAAATAGTCACCACGCTGGTATCAATTATTCTAAGCAGAATGAAGCTTCCTTAAGCCTACTCTTGTTATTTGTTATTACTTTTGTTATTACACTTGTGAAGGATCTCTCATAACACTTTGATATGTTTGGAATGCAAGCTTAACGCTGAGCTCAGGAAAACGATACAGCTGTTTCTGGCGAATCGTTACCCTGAATGTGTGATCACGGCTACCATTGCACTTAAAATCGCTAAGTTTAACGGAGTTAAAGTGTTTGGTCCATCTAAGTGCCTTGCATATATGAGACGACAGGTATACGCCGATACCTTCTTCGGATAGTCGGTGTTTTAATTCGGTAGTAGTTTGGATTATTTTTTCTACCAGAAGGGCATTTCCCTCTGCCTACTCATCAGCAGAGTTTAGTCGTTTATTAATATAAATGTCAGTGACTATGTGAGTAAGACTATCCAGCAGTTTGCAATTGAATGTTAAAATCGCCCAGCATATCCCCGGCCAAATATGTAGACATGTGCCTGTAACATCCAGGCGCGCATGGATTCATAAGTTCACTATCGGCGAATATTTATTGAATTAAGTCGCTTGGCTACTCCGAGGATTTCTTCTCTGTTTTGCACAGGACGCGGACGAGACTCCACCTTAACATCTTGAAGGCAGTTGTTATTAATATACAACGTTTGATCCCGTGTAAGCAGAGAGAATTAAAGTACAAATTGACGCTTTTTGGCGAATCCGTAGACAATTCTTGACCAAATTGAGAGAATATTTTTTTCCTATACCCACCATTGCGCTATTTTAAAATTCGGTTGTTGGAAAAAAAATATATATATATATATCAGATAATCCTAAGGAGCCAGGCAAACCTAGGTTTCACCTAAACAGATCTTCAGGGAAGCTGGCTGAAAAGGAAAATTAATATTTTATACCATTAACTTTACTAATTTACTTTTTGTATGAATGGTTCATTGTATTATATATATATATATATATATATATATATATATATATATATATTAATATATATAAAAACAGACCACTTTTAAGGTACCATTACAATAATTTATTTCACCAAAATCCTTTTTGAAGGACTCCGGATCATCAGGTAAACACTTCCAACAACGAAATGAAAGGAAAAATGGGATTAGAAATTGATGGATAGTGTAATTTTTGTAATTTAACAGGGAGAGTGATAGTTGTAGTTAACGAGACAAGGTAGATTATAGAGAGGGGTAGATTTCATATTTCTCTTAAGCATGTTTTATATTGGGGTAGGAGGAGTGACCTAATCGTGACCTATTTAGATGGTTAACTTAACGGAAATGATATATAGGAATGGGAGGGTAGTGGGGGGAAAAGAAAAGGAAAAATGGAAAGGAGAGAGAAGACAGACAAGTAATACAGATATATTTAAATGAATGTTACGGCAAAGAGAGAGGGGGAGAGGGAAGTGAATCGAAAAGGCTGTAATTTTGTTTTAACAAAATTATGTAAAAGATAGATTTCAATGCTTGATAGAAATTTAGATATCTAAAAAAGGATGAATGTTATCAATTTAAACATTTAGTTTTTTAAGTAAAATAGTTTAGGGACTTAATATAAGTTAACTACTATTTTTATTAGCACATTAGGGATTTAATATAAGTTAACTACTTTTTTTATTAGCACATTTATCGAGAACATATTAAAGAAATATTTAAAATTATAATAGTTTATTTACCCGACCAATTGTACTTTCATAATATTGTAAAAAAATTTTGGTAACAATAATATCTATATTAGTTTTACTTTAAATCTAATTTATGAATGCAATTTTTCTTTATTATTATATGGGTAAACTTAATTAAGGTTTAGGTTTCATTATTTAATAATATTTGAGGGTAATATTAAAGATTTTGTTTTCTTCTTATATGTATGTCACAAAAATATATTCATGCAAATCCACATATACATACGTCCATTTACATGTGCAAATACACACATAGACACACGTGCAACAATATGCACAAATGTTTATCCATCTTCATACATAAATTACATATACACACATACATTTCTCAATCATTACCTATATTTTTAACGTTTGAAATTTATTTAGATTTTAGTTTGATTTTATAGTTAAAGTTTAATTTTAGGTGTCTTCTGAAGTGCTTCATTAATCAAGGGATTTCGTTAATATTATTATTACTATTAATAGTTAAAGAGTGGGATATTTAAAATTATCAATTTTAAGATGAAACCCCCCTTAAGAAGATAAAAACCCGCTCAAAATTTAATTATAGAACATTAAAAGAGAAAAAGCAATTTTAAAATACCAAGAGAATGACCCAAGTACTTCCATTTAAAAATATTCCATACACGTATAGACACATACATATATATATATATATATATCTATTAATAATCTATCTAATTATCCATCCATCTACATATACATATATATATATAGGTATACTCATATACATATATACACCCTTATATACATATACAACCATATATACATATACACACATATATACATAAATACCTACATACCTACACACGATTATATACAAAAAAGCATATAAAAAAGAATTCTACCCATAACTATCCACAAATGCATATGTATTTATATTACAATGTTATACATCTAATCACAAATATATTACAAATATTAATTCTAAGGTATATACATCTACGTACATATACAGATTACAAGCAGATTAATATTCAAATTACTACACATAAATAAATATATGTATACATATATATATCCGTACATACACACACAAAATACATACACATACACCTATACACATTCACAAACACACACCTGTACACATACATCCATACATATGCAAAATACACACATATATATATATACACATATATACAATGATACCTAGCACAAAAATAACGTTAGTACTTAAACATACCCCATACTTATATATTTATACTCACACATATATATATATACCTATACATATACACACATACCTCTATACACATGTGCTCACAATTAAAAGAGTACATATATCCACATAGGCACTCTTATCCAAAACGTTCATACATATATATATAAATAGATAAATTCACATATAAATGTTCATCTGCGTATATATCAACAGGCATAACGTCCATGTATACATACATTCATTTCAAAAAACAAAATTAATATTTTCCCTCTTTAAATAGTTGTTTCTAAACATACTTCGTTAAGTTGAGGTGGTTTTTATGTCTGCATTTACAAATCAACTCGTTATGCTTGTTCAGCAGTATGTCCGGATCCTTATGCTTTATTATTAAGATTTTTTCTTTAATGCACAAATTGCATCGGTCTCTGAAGTTTATCGGAGTCTTAGCTCTCGAGATGATTCTCCATTTTACTTGTGGGGTTAATTTGTTTTCCAACAATTCCCAATAATGCTTAGAAAGTGCAGTTTGATGTTTCTTTGATTTATATGTGAAGGATTGGCGATGGTTATAAAACCGTTGCTTCCAATTTCCCGCCGATATCCTTATGTAGATCTTCTTCTGTTTGATATCTTCCTTGGGGAAAATTGTAGCCTCGTATATCACGTTTTCGGACAAACATATTCCCTCTACTGGACAAACAGATCCTTCCCTGCAGTTACAGGTCGATTTGGTCTTTTGGCTCGTATTAGGATCTTTTTGTAGTTGATCATGAAATTCATTAAAATTTTGCTATTGTGGTAGCTAATAATTTTTTCTATGTTGTTCATGCAGGAATAGCTAATTTTTAAATTCATTTTATTGAACATCTTTTTTAATAGTTTATCTTTTTTAAAATGTTTATCTATAAGTTTAAGAAAGTATTTTCCTATATTAATGTTCCAAAGCTTATAGAAAGGTGGGTTGAACCATTTTTCTATTTTTAGATTTAGAAGATGTGTTTTTAATAGATTTATCTATATAAGTGAGTGATTGTTTGAATTTGCTTTTTAAAAGGGCTTGATTGTATTTTGATTTATTTTAATAAAATATATTTGCATTAAAGGATAGTTTATTTATTCTAGTATTTACAGAGAAATATGAAATCTACCCCTCTCTATAATCTACCTTGTCTTGTTAACTACAACTATCACTCTCCCTGTTAAATTACAAAAATTACACTACCCATCAATTTCTAATCCCATTTTTCCTTTCATTTCGTTGTTGGAAGTGTTACCTGATGATCCGGAGTTCTTCAAAAAGGATTTTGGTGAAATAAATTATTGTAATGGCACCTTAAAGTGGTCTGATTTTTCATTAAATATTAGCTCTGGATTCACATTGAGCTCTCAGGATTTCATCCCCCTTGGAATTACCCATTCGGTTTACCAAGTTCTTCGTAACTTAAATATATATATATATATATATATATATATATATATATATATATATGTGTGTGTGTGTGTGTGTGTGTGTGTGTGTGTGTGTGTGTGTGTGTGTTACTTAATGATAATTAAAATATCGATTTTACTTTAGAAATATTTATTTTTCAACGTAATCAAAACACTAAATTCAATTATATATATATTGATCACAGAGTTTGTTTAGTATACATTGATAATTACAGATCAAAATTCGGCTAACTACGTCTCAGCCTGAAGAATAGATGTTCCATTTCTATATGTGCAATTTTTTTGTTTAAAGATGCTTTGGAATCTTTAATTATATAAGTACGTTGTTCGTGCCTCTGATACAAATCATTGGGTGAACTTTATACTAAATTAATAAAAAAATAGAGAAAGATTTAATTGACACTACTTGCATATGCTTATAAAAGATAGGGTAATATTAATGGGAACTTGTTCGTGTGCGTTTTGTGCACACATATATACGTAGATATTTGTGTCTGAGACTCTGTCCTTCTGTATATGTCATAGAATATCTATCTCTTTCTCTCTCCTCTGTGTGTGTGTGTGTGTGTGTGTGGCCATAAAGCTAATTGCGAAAACAGACCGGCGCTGATTTATTGAGAAATTCTGTGAGGTTTTGTGTTTTGCTTAGTTTGTCACTGCTCGTCGCCACTCGTCGTTCCCTTCCTTGAAGACTGAATTGATCCGACCATCTAGGATCACATCTCAGTGCACTGGAACAGACAAAAAACACGAAGTAGTCGAGCCATTAAACTGCGTGGTTGTTCGGATTTGGAAACGAGGAAAGAAGAATTTATCGTTCTTCCCTCCTTTTTCTATTTTTTTTTCTCGTTTTTTGCTTCTTTTGGGGCCAATCAAGTGTTGACAGGTTTAAAACAAAAATAGATGAACGCGATGTAAAGACAAGAAAATAGAAATACAAACTCAAAGGCCAAGAAGTGATATGAACAGGAAGGAAAAGACAACAAGAAAGAAAGAAAGAAAGAAAGAAAAAGAAAGAAAGAAAGAAAGAAAGAAAATGTGCAGACTAAATAAATAAAGAAAGAAATTTGCAGACTAAACAAAAAGAAATGAAGAAAGAAATGTACACATTGAAAAAAGAAAGAAAGAAAGAAAAATGAGCAGGTTAAAGAAAGAAAGAAAACGTGAAGAATGAAGAAAGAAAGAAAATGTGCAGGCTAAAGAAAGAAAGAAAGAAAGAAAGAAAGAAAGAAAGAGGCGTAGACAAAAGAAAGAAAAGAAGCGTGAAAATGAAGAAAGAAAGGAAGAAAATGTGAAGAATGAAAGAAAAAAGAAAATATGTAAACTAAAGAAAGAAAGAAAGAAAGAAAGAAAAATATGTAGAATAAAGAAAGAAAAATATGTAGACTAAAGAAAGAAAAGAAAACGTGAAAATGAAGAAAGAAAGAAAGAAAGAAAGAAAGAAAGAAAGAAAGAAAGAAAGAAAGAAAGAAACATGTGCAAACTAAAGAAAAAATAAAATGTGGTGAGTGAAGAAAGAAAGAAAAAAGGAAGAAAAATATGCGGACTGAAGAAAGAAAGAAACTGTGAAGACTAAAGGAAGAAAAAACACTAAAATAAGAAATAGTAATGAACGGATTGAAGAAAGAAAGAAAGAAAGAAAGAAAGAAAGAAAGAAAGAAAGAAAGAAAGAAACTGTGAAGACTGAAGAAAGAAAAAAACTAAAATAAGAAATAGAAATGAACGGATTGAAGAAAGAAATAAAGAAATAACGAAAGAAAGAAATAACGAACGAAAGATAGAAAGAAAGAAAGAAAGAAAGAAAGAAAGAAAGAAAGAAAGAAAGAACGAACGAACGAACGAACGAACGAAAGAAAGTGAGAAAGAAATACAAATGAATAGATTGAAGAATAATAAATAAAGAAAATGTTTTCGCTGAATTTTTTGCCTATTTCTTACCGTTGGCAGAGATCAGCATTCGAATACAGGTAAATGCCAAAATAACAGATGCTGATTTACATGGCTATCAGGCCCGCCTGAGATTTTGTTAAGGTTTCATAACAATCGAAGAAGAAAGTTAAGTGTGATAAAAAGAAAATTATGGATGACCTGTTGGTTAATAATTGATGAGATGCCTCCTATAGAACGCAGACCGGAAATCCAAATGAAATTCGATCTTACAACTAAAACATATCAGAGAAAAATAAATAATTATGGCAGATTTCAGGTGATATGTAAAATTTATTTCCAATTTTCACTCTGCATATAAAAAAGAATCTGTCATCTCACAATGTCACCAAATTCACGAATCAACGCTTTTATCCACAAGATTATTCTTCCGTACTGACATAGTCATTGTGAGTTCAATCTCTGGGCTGGGTAGAGGGCCTCGGTAGAAATAGGGCGAACAATAATTCAGGAGTGGCGGAACGTGAATAGTCTACCCTCGTAGATTAAATAAAGGATTCAGTTCGGGATTTCCTGTAACTTACCCGAATCGACACTGGCCTGATGAAGGCCAAAGGGTACAAAGGACGAAACGTTATAACAAGAAAAACAAAGATGAAGACAATAATGTAAATAATGTAAATAAAAAAAGGAAAACATTTTATTAACTAATATTTCTAAACAATTTTTATGTGAATTCCTAAAAAGCCGGAATGAATACCGCCACTTACGAAAGTTTCTAGATATAAAATGCAAACGATTAGTCAATCCTTAGTAATTGACCCTATGGCTTCGTAATATCAGGTGTTGTAAGCTTGAGTGTTCTTGTGGTGTAATGGATAATGGCTGGGAATTGTTAACCGGAAAGCCGAGTTTCAATTCCCGTTGGGATCGTTATATTCACTTAGACGCAAATGCACTTGGTAAAGGCATGAATACACCTTTTCCCCTTCCCCGAGATATGGGCTATTTAGTAAGACTCACTAAAGCATTATTATCTAAAAAAAAAAATTCTTACAATATAAAATATTTCGCGGCTTTAAATAATATGCAATGAGTTGATAAGCCATAAAAACGAATCAAATCTAGATTTGTAAAGAGCGGACCAAAATTCAACAGAATTTCTTCAGTTCTTTTTGTTTGAATTTCTAGAATGAGCTATTATCATTATTTACACTCGGGCTATCTTTGGCGTTGTCATCACAACTTTTCGACTGTTGTGTTCTCCGGCTTTCATGGAATTTTCGCCTGAATCATTTATCTAATCTATTCGTGCTTTTATTGATTGATTCTGTTTCTACGGCTTTTCTTTGGTGGCGGTGCGAGGAGATAATAATTGTTTTTTTCGTGATACAAGGTTTAATAATTAACCCCTAGCTGGAGGAGAAGAGGTGGGATCATTAAACCGCCCGCACATCCAAGCATACAGCACCTGGTATTTCCAAGCGGTTACTCATCTAGATACTGACCAGGTTCGACGTTGCTTAACTTTGTGATTGTATGGGCACCGGTGTTTCAACCTGATGTGTTTACCCTCAACGGGTGTAAATTGTACTCATTCTGCTGTGCTTGTCTAGACATATATCTTTATGTTCATCGACCTTGTGTAATCTCCAACTGTGTTCAAGTAACCACTGCCTAGCCCAGGGATTGAACTCATAATTATTATGTAACCAAATTTATGAACTAACGCTTTAATCCACGAGGTTATTTCTAGTGGAGAACATGGAGCGATAAACCTAACCTTCCTGGTAATGAGGGCTACTTCTGTTTGACTAAACCCACTGAAGTTTCTCTTTTGTTACATTTGAATACTTGAAATCATTTATTTTTCTTTATTAACGGCTAACATATTTCTATGCTAGGCCTACTAAGGAGGTCCTCATAGCTTAGCATGTGCACTTTCAGATATCTAACTCTCTAGTGTTCTTACTTGTCCACTTTTTTCACTTCTTTCCTTTGTCTTTTTTCCCTCCGTATATGAACAGCCATGCCTGATTTCTTTACACTCCGCTCATAATGTCTTTTCGATGTTCTTCCAGCCTTAGTTTTAAAGTGGTGGGGTCACCGTTACGTTCTTTGCCATAACTTTATTTTTGCTTTAAATTTACATATCATATAGAGCAATGTTTTTTTCAACTTTTTTTTTAATCTCGCGGCAAACTTGTACCGATAGTTAAACTTCAGCAAAATTAAATTATGATAAGGAAGAGTAAAATAAAATGTATACTTTTTTCTGATTTATTTATTAACATAAAAAAACATTATTATAATAATTAAAAAATTTACATTTATTTTTCCGTTTATTATAGTGATTTACTAAACATAGACGTGGGACAAAAATGAGCACCCAGTGAGAATCGAACTCACTACTAAGTCGTAATTGATAAAGTGAGACAACCTTCTTAACCGTTATATCCGTCGATTTACAATTTAGCATTAAATAAGATACCTGAGATTGCCGTAAAAAAATGTATCCTGTCTTATATTTTGCACAAAAATAAATTTTACATCAGATTTTCCTCCAAATTTTCTCGTTTAAAATCTCACTAAATGGTCTATAAGGAACTGAATTACAAGGCAGAAAGTAGGAATAAATTTTTGATGGTTTTCTTTTACAGTGATATCCACCCTGTACAAATACCAAGAGCCACTCAAGGTAGAGGCTTACAGAGTAAGAGGCACAGTTTATGTGGCTATGCGGAGAAGATAACGGTTAACCCAAGACTTGAACAGCTTAAGATTTCCGATATCGAGAAAGCATCCTCTTGAAAGTCAGTTCAAAAAGGAGCGGTTCGTAAGAAGAAACTGCTCGTGCGGAACGAATGAGGGTGATTAGCTACAATGTGCGTAGCATAGCTGGTCTTAGCCGTGAAGGTTAGAATTGGTAAAACTAAGGGATGTAGTTCGACTGAGCATTTGCCATGGAAATAGCGATAGAGAAAGGAGTTGTAGAGATGGAAAATAATTTGTAACTCACAAGATCGAGAAGACGCTTTTGGAGTCTATCGAGACTTGAAAGTAAAGTCTGGGCAGCTCTTATCTATATATGGCAAAAGGACTCCATATTTGGCCTGATCTGGCTGTTGTAAAGGTAGAAGAGAGCACGAGGATTCAGCTATTTACTGAAGCGGTACATTGAACCGACCACTTTAAATGCTTAGATTTTCGAAGGCATCTTTCACTATTTTAGGCCTGATTTTCTAAAGGTGAAGGATAGCACGATGTGTCAGGTATTTACAATGATGTACAAGGCCTAAGAGCCACTCTAGGTAGAGGCCTACAGGATAAGAGGTATAGTTTTGGGGCATATGCGGGGTAGATAACAGTTGACACTAGATTTGAACAGGCCAAGAATGTAGCGATCGGAGAAGCATCCACTTAGGAATCGGTTCCAGAAAGCTGCGATTGGTAAGAAGAAGCTGTTCGAGTGGAACTTACATCTCACTAATGGAACGCGAAGGAAATGAAGGTGGTTCACTACAATGAGGGTCTTAGGGCGGATCTTGGCCGTGAAGGTTAGAATTGGTAACAGTAGGGAATGTGGTTCGTCTGAGCATTTTTCATGGGAATAGCGATAGAGCAGCGAGAGGCTCGCCATGTTTCGTCTGTGAGAAACGGGCTGTAGGGTGGAAAGTCATTTATCAACCGCAAGGAATTTTGAACTCTATCGAGACTGGAAAGTAAAGAACGGGCAGATCCTGTCCATATATGGCAACAGTATTACATTTTAGGTTTGATTTGATTGCCGTGAACAGATATTGAACTCACAACTGTTGTGGGCAAATCACAAGATTACTTCAACCAACGCGTTTATCCACTAGGCTATACAGCAGAAGTAAACGCGGTGAACTCGATTTAAAGGGAAATAACTGAAACTGATATATCCGGAAGAGATATATCACGTGGAACTAGAACAATCTACCCCAGTGGACGAAATAAAGGGTTCGGTTCGAAATTCCAATTACCTGAAGAAGGACAGTGCGTAAAACGAATGAAACGTCTGGAATATGGCAACAAAGATGAGGACAACAGTCCGAACAATGTAAATAGTCTAAGAAAAAATAAATTTGTCATGAGTTAAAACGCAAACGAAAGTATAAATCAAGGTTCAGTAAAGGGTGGAGATGGTGGCGCCGGAGCGAATAGTTAAACCCGGGTTCGAATCTCACCATCGTAGGTTTGTTATTAATATTAACTTGGGAGACCAACACAGCGTGCTGCGCTGTTGGGAAATGCTTGAAAACTAGGAACCGTAGATGGTTTTTGCTAACACAAATTTACAAGTCATCGTGACTGAGGGTTTGAACTTACTGAAAATATTCAACTGTTAATCATGCCAGAAACTAATGCCTAATCAGCATAGAATATAATTTGACTATTATGGATGGAAGAAACACAAACATGTCGAAGCAGGTGTCTAGCAGGAATTACCAACAGAAGTATTGGTAAACAAGTAACCAGCTACTATTATTACACCAATGGAATTATTTTGCCAGCAATTATTACAAAACTTTTTCTTGTTGAGCCTGAACAAGATGGGATACATTAAGGCTGTGATTTAATGCAACAGAGATATGTTTTTGCAAGAGAATATTTAGAATGCCATGGATGCAATATGTGAACAACGAGGAAGTTTTAATGAAAAGTTTTAATTGTATACTTACAATCAGAAAGAGTCAGTTGAAATTTATCGAACATATAATGATGAAAGAGATTTGGATATTTAATAAGAGTAGATAGGTTTGTCTATTGCTCAGTACCGCCTCGTGCCCAGTCTTTTGAACGGGAGTAGAGGTTTAAAATCCACAATTCCTTTTATTAAATTCGCAATAGTATTCACCTATGTCTAACCTGGGTTCAAAATATAGCATTCCTAATCGAATCTGTGGGCCTAGTGGGCTCTGGATAGAGGTGTTATCTTTGATGTCTGGCACGCTGCACCTTCAGATGGACAGGCATCATTGGTCTTCAACTATCTGATAAATCTCTTTCGTGATGGCTCCAAGTTGCAATGCCTCGGTAAACCACTTCAGCTAGCGGGATGAACTCAGGTAAGCGGGTGGGGTTAAAACGGCACCACTGGGCGAAGGACCTCCTCGATGTAGGTCATCCACCAGGGCGGAAGGGTTCCACAGATGAACTACAACGGCCACGTGTTCGCGTCCAAGGCGAGCCACCTAATTGGAGGAGATCAGCTGGAGAGGGAGGGGATCCCCCAGTTAAAAAAAAAATCCCCAGAATCTTAGGGTTCCGCAAGAGGTCGCTAGGGGTTCCACGAGAGACAGTTATTAATAGGCTAATGGATTTTGAGTCATTTTTGTTGAATTTTCTATTTGTAATTTTATTATAGACGTACAGCATTTTGTTGGAAAATCCTTGGTTATTATAATAAAGGTTTCAAGCTCTTATATTATTTAAAATTTCAATAATTTCAGGAATTGTATTTTGCGATGGCTTTTTTATGGAATTTTTATGCGGGAGCTACCTGAAATATGAAAACAATTTCAAGGTTTCCACAAGTGTATATACGCTGAGAAACGCTGATCTAAGACGCTGATCTAAGGCGTGTTAAGTGAATTCGGCAGACCGGGTTCAATTCCCGCTGGATTCTGTTGAGTTTATTTAGCACTAATGCTCTTGGAAAACGTATGTATCTATCTATCTTCTTCCAATTATGGATTAAATGGGTTTGATGTCTTTCATGTGTCAACCAGCCCTGAAGAGGGATCGGATTCGTCAGGCAATCTTACCCTAGACGCACAACTGCTGCTATGATTACTTTAGGAGATCTGATAAAAAATATCGGGCCTCTTGTTATAGTAACTAAGCTAAAGTTTGCAAAGTGGCACAAACTGACCTTGAACTTGCGCTTGCACGCTAAGTTATAAGGTTCTCGCCCATTTCTGTTCTTTATAGCAATGCTCGGAAGGAAAGTGTGTAGAATGTGGCCGTCTCATCGCACCACAGAAATTCCATCAGTGATCATGGATTTTAGAGCAGTTTTTGACAAAGAACAACATTCCCTAGGCCCGACAACCACCACATTCCCCGAATCTCGCTCTTTGCAACTTTTTTCCTCGTCAAAAATGAAATCCTATTTAAAAGGAACAAGATTTCAAGACGTCGAGAAAATCCATGAGAATGCGTGAGGCAGCTGCGAGCTAAACCCCCACCCACCTCCCACACACACAAAAAGAGTTTCATGAATACATTTCTAAAGGGAAAAGCGTTGGATAAAGAGTATAGCTTTAGAAGGGGACTACTTCGAAGGAGATTAAATGCCGAATTGATATGTGTTGTAGTTTTCTTTTTATAGCATCAGCTACGATACGTATTAATAAGACCTCGTGCACGTAACGTGTGACGGTATGTTTTTCTCATACAAATGGTGCCTTAATCAAGTTTTATTCAGAGATTTCGAAAACTGTTACTGTTGTTGTCTTCTATCGTTATTAACAACTGAAAAGAATCGGCCGCGTGAAACAAACGCTAAACGGGGAATGTAGCGAAAGACGTCTCAGACAGCGTCTATCAACGTTCAGCAGTGCGCTAAAAATCGTTTAAAATATTAAAAAAAAAACTTTTAAATTTGAGAACAGCTTGGCAGGTGGTCGACTGATTAATATTTCTTTGATTATTTTACAACACAATTTCTCTTTTCTTATTTTCATAACGATTTTACTTTTCTTTCTCACTTTACGTATTGCCTATATACGCAAGTTTTTGTTGTCCACCATTTTAAGAAACCGCGCGAGGGAAAGCAAGGGGAACGAAATGTACTCAATATTCGCCTCCATCTTGTATTACACCAATGACCGGACAAAGATATGAATCTCTCTCAACGATACGAATCCACGTGCTGCAACGTGCCTGGGTCTTACAAGTTAAACAATTTAATAAAGTTATTTTCTTTTGAGACCGGACATTTTAATTTTTTCTTCTAGATTTGGGGCGTGGTTTGTTTTTTTGTGTGTTTTGCTTCAAGAGCTGTTTTTCTTTGACTAACAAAGAAAAACAGAACGAAACTGGTTCATATTCATCTTTCTAGAACAGAGTTTCTCAACCTTTGTTCCCCGGATCCTTAAGGTTCCGCAAGAGGTCGCTAGGGGTTTCGCGAGAAACGGTGATAAATAGTCTAATGCATTTTTTAGCAATTGTTTAATTTTATATACGTAATTTTACTATACACATGCGGCATATTGTTGAAAAATCCTTGTTTATTATAATAAAAGATTCAACATGTTAAATCATTTAAAATGATAAAAATCATAGCGAATCTAGTGTCTAGATACTGGTGTCGGTTATATTTTCATGTTAATTTTCAGTTCCGCAGAGATACTCATCCAAGTCTACGGATAACCTTGGAACAGTGCCCCATGAGCCACGTCTGCTTATTGACCTTTAGCCGCTCCTTACGGGCATTAGCTGGGTCAAGTAAAGATATACAGTGAAGAAATTTGGGGGGATTTAGAGGAACTGAGTGAGTAGTAATGCTATATCGAGTCTAGTTTGCGTCTTCTTCGTCACCTAGGCCCGTGTTACGGTTGGTATGACGTTTGCACTGTATCGAAATAGTCCGGGTTCGATTCTCGGTGGTGGATTAGCACAGCTGATGAGTCTCAAAGAGGACGAAACGGCCATCCAGTGCTTTCTGCATTTTGTTGAAGATTATTCTGGGCTCGATGAATTACTATATACGATTTCTCTAAATCCCCCCAAATTTCTTCGCTATACACACACACACATATATATGTATATATATATATATGTTGTTTGGTATGCGGTAGAGTAACGGTCAGCGACCCAAGTTCGAATAAATACTGATTTTTTTTCTGCGGGTGGCAACAAATCCAAGTCAATGAAAACTTTGAATTTAAAGAAAATGAAGAGGGATGGGATCCGCCAGGTTATATTACCTTAGATACAAACACTACTGCTGTGGATGCAGTACATGTTACGCTCCTACGACTCTAAAGATTTACGGGACTCGAGACGTGACGTGACTCAAATTCGACGTTTAGTCATTAAAATTTCTTTATTGCTAGAAAGACTTAGTCTGAAAGTAACTAAAAAGAAATGGAGATTCAACAGAGTATTGGTACAGTCGGTGGACAGTATTAAGTAAGTAGGAAAATTTGTCTACCTGTACTGAATCGACGCTAAAATACAACCGTTGTTATTGCTTTGTTTTCCCGCCTTTTTCCAGACTTTGTTCTGTCATTACATGTATAAAAAAGATTTCGCCTGTCTGTTTAATAAATCCAATCAGTGATACAGGTATCAGAGGCAGGTGTTAATCTTAATTTGTAATATTGCTCAAGTATTGTGTCAAAATCAACAAATAAAGAGCACTCATGTTAGTACAAAATTACATTCAGGTCTCTCGAGCCATGGAAAGTTAAATCTGATCCACAGTGAACATTGCCTAAACGAGAATTTGTTTGCAACACGCTGTAATTCATTTTTGCAAACCAAATGATGACATTTGAATAAGCTGATTTGTTTAGAAAAATACTTTGGCAAAAACCCTACTTCGGTTTAATAATTTCTTTAATTTAATTTAATTTAATATTATAAGAGTTCATGGTAAACAATATCTTTTAAGAAAGTTTTTTTTTTTCATTTTTAACAGCGAAGAATAAATTTTTAGGATTACTTACTCTAGAACATGCAACATACAACTGGCCAAATTTCAAATTTTGAAGTGTTTAGTCGTGTGATTTGTTTATTGTTCTTGCACGCGGGGCGAACAGGAAACTGAATTCTTATATTGTATAAACTTAAATGATATGCAAAAACAATACTGCATTTTTAGTAAATAAGTTTTTGTTATTTTAACCATTAAATTCTTTTTAAAATATTGCGAGTAATTTGTATGTTAAATGATAAAACTTTTAATTTAAAAAAAAATAATGAAAATTAATTGTACTAAAATACGCACCCTAGTAAAACTAACGTTATTTTGTACCCATTTATCTGTTTGCACTTCTCCCCAAAATTTGATCTCGATCGATCAATGTATGGCTATTTTAGAGGGTGTGATGGTCTAATGGAAGTCAAAGAATAGATAGATAGATAGATAGATAGATAGATAGATAGATAGATGAACACCACGTTAGGCTACCATATCCTAGACACACCCACTGTCGTACATGTGGCCTGCTACGACTCATCTTTCTACAAAGATATCTTAAAGGTGAATTTAGAGAAAAGCGATTTTTGTGTTCAATTTGTATTCGTGTCTTTTAGATAACAATATTGCTGAATATAAAGTTGACTACAGAATGTATCAACACTGACAGAATATCCCTATTTCACTTTACCTAAGATCAAACCTACAGGTAATATAAAGAGATTACAATAAATGATCTCATATGGAAGCGAAAATCACTTGTATGAAGGCAGATCATGTTCTGTCATTGACATTTGCAGAACAAGATTCGACTCGGCAGGTGATTCGCACACGACACCATGAGGGCTAGAGGGCCGAATACAGAGGGTTCAATACTGTAGCCTAGAAAAAGTTTTCGCCTGTGTTTAATAAACGCGATTTGCGAAAAAGTAGAAAGTGTTAATTGAATTTGTATGCCTGTGTCAAAATTGTTTAAAATAATCTCAATTGAAATATTGTTCAAGTAATGTAGCCTTGTGTCAAAGTCAACAGGTCTCTCGAACAATGGAGGATGAGCCTGATCAAGAGCGGACGCTTCACAAACGCAGACTTGTGCCGAGAGTTAATAAATCTGAAAAAACCTTTGAAGAACATTTATAGAAAATTATCTAGCATACAAGTCTCAAAAGCTATTTCCAGTTACTGGATCCTCAGCGAGAGATCTATAAATATGGCCTTATGCTACAATGAATTTCTTTT